AACTTTGCTGTTTTCCTCCAAATGACTTTTTGTAGATTCAGTCTTCTACCTGAACTTTCTACCCTGCTTTTCTAAATTTTATCTTTACTTAGAGGCTATGAATTCTCACTTTATAACTTCCAGTATGTTACCTATGCCTGATCACCTTTAAAAAAAATTGTGGTAGAAAACACATAACAAAATTTATCATCATAATCATTTTAAAGTGTATAGTTCACTAGTAATGAGAAGAGTCACATTGCTTTGTAGTGAATCTCCAGAACTTTTTGATCTTGCAAACCTGAAACTCTGTACACATTAAACCATAGCTACACATTTCCCATCCCCACCCCCAGTCCCTGGCAACCACCTTTCTTCTTCCCTTTTCTTAGAGTTTGACTACTTTAGCTGTATACAGTATTTATCTTTTTACGACTGGTTTATTTCTGTAGCATTATGTGACTATATCTCCTTTTTTCAAGACCGAGTAATATTCCATTGTTTATTACCATGTTTCACTTATCTGTTCATCTTTCAGTGGGCATTTGGATTCCTTCCACCTCTTGGTTATTTTGAATAATACTGCTATGAACATGACTGAACAAATAATATCTTCAAGTTCTTGCTTCTAATTCTTGGATATTGATCCTTGAAATCTGGGATATATACCTAGAAGGGAGATTGCTGGAAAATATGCTAATTCTGTTTTCATCTTTTTGAGGAACTGCCATACAGTTTTTTATAGTATCTGTACTATTTTATATTTCTACCAACAGTGTATAAGGTTTTGATTTCTCCATATCCCTTGGTCTTTTCTTTGGTATTTTTATTTTTATTTTTTTAAAATTTTGTCCTGCTAAGGGCCAGACCCAGGTCTTTTGATGTGCTAACTCTGTTCTCTCCTACTAAGTTACAATCCCAGTCTTCTTTTTTTTTTTTGATGTGGGCATCATAATTGGAGGTAAGGTGATATCTCATTGTGGCTTTTATTTGCATTTCTGTAGTGATCAACGTTTAGCTTTCCATCACTACAACAAGATATCCCGACAATAGGCTTATACAGAGGAAAGGCTTATTTGGGGTCACAGTATCGGAGGTCCAGCTCATGATCGGTTGGTCCTATTGCTTTGAGTGTGTGGTGAGGTAGTGGCTTATGAACCTCCCACATGGCCCCTTCCTCTCAAAGGGTCCAAGAGTTCCAGTAGCACCACCCTGGAGATATAGTCTTTAACTCACAGGATTTCAGGGGACATTCAAGTTCTGACCTATAGCAATTAGAGATGGGGAGCATCTTTTTATGTTTACAGGCCATTTGTGTATCATTTGTAGAGAAATGTTTACAGGTGTTCTTTGCCCATTTTTTAATCAGGTTATTTCTTGTAAATTGTGATTCTTTATGAACCAATTTGATATATAATTTGGAGGTGTCTTCTCCTATTCCTTAGCTTGGCTTTCATGCTGTGGATGAAGTTTGGTGTGGTCCCATCTTATTTGTCTAATTTTGCTCTTGTTGCCTATGCTTTGGGTGTCATTTTCAAGAAACAGTTGTCAAATTTAATGTCAGAAATCTTTTTCCCCCAGGTTTTCTCCTGGGAATCTTATAGTGTCAGGTCTTATCTTTAGGTCATCAATCCATTTGAATTAATTTTTGTATGTGGTGTTAGGTAAGAGTCAAAGTTCCTTCTTTGCAGGTGGTTGTCTACTTTCCCAAAACCATTTGTTGAAGAGATTGTCCTTTCCTCACTGAAAAATCTTATTCTCCTTGTGGAAGATTCTTTGATAATAGGAAAAGGAGTTTATTTTTGTGGTCCCTATTCTGTTCCCTTGGTCTCTACATTTATCTTTATGCCAATACCACACCGTTTTGATTACTATAGCTTTAATGTGTTTTGAGATCATTAGAGTGGGTGAATTCTTTAGTCTTGTTATTCTTTTTTTTTTTCAGAATTGTTTTGGCTATTTGGAGCATTGCCTTTTAAACACAAATACCATATATAGCTTATTCATGGTTGTCTTCTGGGCTTATTGCAATGTCTGGCTCACAATAGTTATTTAGAAAATAGCAGATAAATTAATGTTCCAGGCCACTTTTGCACTGAATTTATGAGTTCGATTCTTGGGTGAAGGGCCAAATAAGTGCTCAGCTGGCTGATCTTCCAGGGAAGTTGAATGATATAAAATCCATACTTCATATGTAATGGAATTAATGAAATACAGCTGAGTAGTAAAAATTAATTTTCATTAAAATGAGCAAGTTAAGCAAACTACAATGTCAGCAATCTTTACATGATAAAAAATAGAACCCTTAGAGATTTAGTTTTCAAAACTCCTTGAAGTAAGATGATAAAAACCGGCATAGGAGTTAAATTTGCTTGATTGCTTAAGCCATTTCAGATAAACTTCTCTCTCTCTCTCTTTAAATTAATGATCTAGATTCTACGTATAAGAACATAGTACATTTAAAAGTCTTACTTCATAAAGAATGTGTTGTTGAACATCTACCAAAGTCCTGATGAATGAGAGGAAACATGAGTACAGTATGTCATTGCTTTTTGCTGATTCCTCTAATTGAAGAGAATATTGCAGATTTTAAAATATTTGTGAATGGACAGCCAGATTATGTATTCTTATGCTCAGATTGTGTACTATGGTGTTCCTCCTCATTAGCTGATATCAAACCCAGATTCTTAGTGATTTGAAGTCCCCTGAATTATATATTTTTTAAATTCCTGATTTTATACCAGCATGGTTCCTGTTAGACATGTTCTTTTATGATATAATCCTAGAAATTGCCATAGAAATTGTATTATCTTTTTTCTTTTTTTTTTAACCTGGGGATTGAACCCAGGGCCACTGAACCACTGAGTCACATTCTTCAACAACACCCCCTGCCTTTTTTAAAAAAATATTTTTTAGTTGTAGGTTGTAGATGGACACAATATCTTTATGTGGTGCTAAGGATCAAACCCAGTGCCTCACCCATGCTAGACATGTACTCTACCACTGAGCCACAACCCTGTCCTCATCCCCAGCCCTTTTTTATATTTTATTTAGAGACAAGGTCTTGTTAAGTTGCTTATAGCCTTGCTAAGTTGCTGAGGCCAGCTTTGAACTCATGATCCTCCTGCCTTAGCCTCCCAATCCTCTGGGATTACAGGCATGCACCACCATGCCTGCCAATTGTATTGCTTTTGACCTCATGTCAGTCCTAGGACTGTGATCATTCTCTCCCTTGGGGGTTGAGGTATATTATCATTTGGGAGCAAGTGGTCGCCTCTGCAGACTGAGAGCTTATAGTAAGAACTGTGACTTCATCAGGTTGTCTACCCTGAAAAGATTCCTGGGTTCAAATAGTCTTTGACCTAACAGTTTAACAGTCCTGCTGTCCTTCAGATTTGATTGACATTAGGTTTTGGCTGGTAATCCAAACTTGCATGCTCTCATGAGTCTAAGTTGATAGGAAAATGTCTGAAAGAGATTTGGGGCCTGGGTCTAAGTCACGTACTCTGTCTTTTCTTCATTTTGGAGAAGATTGCTAGCTTCTCATGTTCAAAATGCCGTTTGTTTCTGAATTTTGAGAGTCATAAGTAGTCCCTCTTTGAAAAAGAAATTGTTGTGAAAGGATAGAAAAATAAAGAAAATAATATTCTGCTTTTTGAAAGTTTTATCTTTGGATAATCTCAATCAAAATTTCTTTATAATGAATAAATAAAATTTGATTTAAACTAAATCTTAAAAATTATCTAATACACCACATTAATCATCCTGGTGGTAACATTTATCATGTCCTCATTGAGTATCACAACTTTTCTCAAAATATCATGACTTCACAAATGAGGAAATTGAAACATAGGAGATTCGGAACTCATCTAAGGCCCAGATGAGATACAATTTTTAATTCCTTGATCCTAATTACTTAATAAATATCTCCTATGTGTCAAGTCCACATTTCTAGGTGAATCTGTCTCCTGTAGACCTTTCAGGCAAGATGCCCCTGTAGGAAACATTTCAGTATGATGCTCTTGTGGCGAGCTGTGACCTATGTTGGCCACACCATTGGTCATCAGTGTACTTTGTAATGCCAATGCTCTTAAACTTCAGTGTTCTTTACAACACAGGGTAAATGAATGAACCTATTAATTTCATATTTAGCGTTATATATATATACTTTTGTTTTTCAAGTTATTAAAATGTTCTCTTCATGAATCCAAAGTCTCTTCTGATTTTGGGTTAAATGCAGTTGTTTTCTGGCAAAAATCTCATTGTTATTTTGAACTGTATATGCAATAGATTTTGTATTGTTTTAATGTTATATCAATTTTATTTAACTGTAGCAGTTTAATGCAGATATTAAGTTGTTTGTCAACTTAACCTAAAAGCAAGAGAATGGAGAGTGTTTATAGTTATATCTTATTTTAACATTGGCTTTACTGCATAGCCATACTGCTTTTTGAACTTTATTCCAGTTTCTCATTTACCTTTTGAAAAATACAGAAAAATTATTTCATACCTAATTAAGATTGAATTATGGTTTAAATAATTTATTGAAATAAGGTATTGGTGATGAGAGTATTAACATAAGGTTATAGAAATCTGATGTGTATACTTTTTTGTTTTCTATATTTTAGTCAGTAAACTGAGTGAGAAAAATATTTTGGATTAACATCTAGTTTATATATTTACTCCCCAAATCTATGGCTATTCTTTTATTTGAATAAAATTCTTGTATTAAATAAAATCTCCAAAGTGCCAAGTCTGCTAAGACTTAGTATTTGCTTCTTTTTGGAAACCTGCAAGAAAAACTTAATATGATGTCTGTTTTGTTATATTGGATAGTATCTGTTCTCTTATTTATAAGTTTGGAGCTCAAAAGTGAGAACTTTAAGGTGCTATGATATGTGTATATTTTTCAGTTCAATTTTGTATACCATCAATTCTGCATTTGAACTGGTAAGTGATAATCCAGATTTTCCTCAAGCCAATAGATAAAAACAAATATTTTTTTTTCTTTTTGTTGACAAGGTGGAGTTCAGCTTACTCTTTCTTAGATGTGAGAGGAAGAGAAGGTCATTTCATGCCTTGCTGATAAAGGTAAGGTCATAGAAATTATTAAAGAGATTGGGATGTTTGGTAGGCATCATTATTATGCTTTGACATTTTGACTTTGTGGCATGCTGAAATCAAAAGAAAGATAGTGTATTTATACAGTGAATAGAATGAACAATTATTCCTTTAATTATCACTAAGAACACAGAAGATAAGAAATAGGTGTAAATCAACATGGCAAAGTGGATGTGGATTTACTGTGTAATGAGCAAGTAGCTTGTGGCTTTCATTTGAAATGTTGGCTTACACACTTAGTCTATTCCTCAAACATTTACACACTTAGTAATAACCTTTCTCAAATATTGATGATATCATTTTTCAGGTTAATGCAAACTAGATTGCAAAACCGTGCTGTTTTCAAGCAAATCCAATCTATTACCCTGTTCATGTTGATAGTTCTAGTTGGTTTTGTTGAGTTTGGAGGAAAATGTGAAATGGGTTGTATGGACTCCAGGGCCTACCTTTACGAAGGCTGCGCTGTGCATTGGTGACTGTTCACTAGGAGCCACTCTTCTAACCAATCTGTGGGGTGGCTGTTTTGTATAGAGTGCTACAGTTCTTGAAGCGCTGTAAAGAAGGCTTCACCCATGTATCTTTTTCACAGCACATCTGTAAGGACAGTTTTGTTTCCATTCCTGTTTTAAAGAAGTTAAAATTGACACATGGAAAGGTTAAGACACTTGCCTCAGGTTACATGGGCAGTAAGGAGTAGGGCTAGAATTAAGTTGATACCTCCTGCTCTTTACTTCTGTGCTGTACTAAAAATCTGTACCAGGGTTTGAGCAGTGACCCTGTGGCAGAAGACCCTGCATTATCACACATCAACTCATGGGTTGAGGTACAAATGTAGACTTTTCGCCAAATTTTACTTTTAGGTAGGTTTCTATATTTCACGAATAGTTCTTAAATGGCCACTTGGTTTATTTTCATTAAAAAGCAAATGTATAAAAATAGCAGGGCATAGTGCCACACACCTGTGATCCCAGTGGCTTGGTAGGCTGAGACCAGAGGATTGCAAGTTCGAAGCCAGCTTCAGCAACTTAGCAAGCCCCTGTCTCAAAAAATAAAAAGGGGCTGGGGATGTGGCTCAGTGGTTAAGTGCCCCTGGGTTCAATCCCTGGTATCCCCTCCCCTCCCCTCTAAAAAAAATAATTTCTGTGAGAGTTACAATGTATTGACTATTTGATCTTCACAGTTCTGTCCATGTGTTTTTTAAAGATTAAAATTGTTATATTGAAAGGTGAAGGTAATATTAAATAAACCAATATCTATTTTTCACCTTTTGATTAGTAATTGAACATATTTTTTTTTACTTAAAAAGGGCTCTGGGTGGGAATTATTCATCATTTTATATTTTTTGAATATTTGATGAAAATCACAAGATTAATTGCACTTTCTATGAAAAGAAGTCACTACATTTTTCTTGGAAAACGACATATGTAGGGATGTGAATCAAAGACTTGTTGGAGTGAAGTTGTTCACATATTCTATGTGACTAGCTATAGAGGGAGGACATTGCTCAGAAGTTCTTTTCATTAGAAAGTTTAGGAGACCAAAGAGGGCTGAAAACCTTCCCAGGAGGGCTGTGTCATTTTCCAACTTGTTCCATATTGCTCTAGGTAAAGGCTCATGAAAGGGATGTCAGTAATTGTTTACTTATTAGATTTTTATTGTTTTCTGTAATGCAGACTCTGATGAAAGCATGCTCCCTTGTTTTTGTTCTTTTTGCATACATCGTGTCACCACACTGAACCCTGTCACTAACAAAGGGAGGAACTAAGAAGGTTTTTAAATGGTTTCAGACCTAAATCTCAGTTTTCAACCCACTACCTCTTTCATGAAGAAACACCTCTTCAATGTGGGACACTAAAAGAACAAGGAATATATCCGAACAGCTCTTGAGAATCTGAATGTCAGAGAATTCATGAGTCAGATTAGAGTGCTTGCTTGATCTGCTTTTAGGAATTAGACAGTAAAGGAAATCATAATGCAACTCAAAAAATGAATAAGAATTTTTTTCCCCCAGGTATTTCAGTGAGATTGTGCCAGCTCATTTTCAGTAAGAAGGAAATAAGCAAGAAAAGGTCAGGAAAGGGTTGTTTGACACTTGTTCCATGTGGACATGGCAGGGTGAACTGGTTCACAATAATCATAGGAAGATGTACTTATTTTTTCTCATATCTTTTCTCATAACAAATGAGCAAATGTAGGAAGAATAAAAATTATACTTGTTAATGTATTTGACTTTACTGCAGTGAAATTTTAAGCTTTTTTATACTCTTAAATCATTTTTTAAATATTTTTTTTAGTTGTAGATGGACACAATACCTTTATTTTATTTATTTTTATTTTTATGTGGTGCTGAGGATCAAACCCAGTGCCTCACATGCATGCCAGGAACGTGCTCTACCACTGAGCCCAACCTCAGCCTAAATCATTTTCAAAATACTCAATAAGGTTCTCAGAGGGTTACTTTTCCATATTTATGAAAGATTTTATTGCTTACTTAAAAATGCCCATTAAAAGATGGTGGCATAATTTTAAGATTGCAGACATAATGCAGTTGAGAGTATTGGTGTTCCTCCTTTGGGGCCTTAAATAGAATTCATTTTCCCCCTGGGTTGTGGTTTGGAGGGTAAATTTATGTTTTAGTTTTTAAAATATTTTTAAAAGTTTAAAAAATTTTAATGGACATATAATGGTCTGTAACTTATGGGTTAAAATATGATTTGTCAGTACATATATACAAGGTATAGTGATCAGATTAGGGTAATTTGCATATATATTACCTCAAACATTTATTATTTCTTTGTGCTAGGAACATTCAAAACTGAAGCTAAAATTTTAAAACTTAAGTTTTCACTTTGGCTGCTGCATTGTGCTACTGTGCTTCAAAACCATGCTGACTTGGTGTTGTGGTTTGGATGAGTGAACCCCAAAGGTTCATGTGTTGAAGGTTTGGTTTCCAAGGTGGTAATGGTGGGATGTGCTATGGTCTTTTAGGATGTGGAGACTTAAGGGAACTCCTTAGATGGTTGGGGATTGTGGGATCCTGCTTTTCCTCCATAATTTTGCATCCTGGCTCAGGGTGTTAAGTGGTTTGTTCCATCACATGTTCCCACTCTGAGATATTGCTTTCTTCAGGGTCCCAGAGTTGTGGGGCTTCCCAGCTAGGGACTGAAAGCTCTAAAACTGGGAGCTAAAATAACCCTTTTCTCTTTATAAAATAATTATCTCAGATGTTTTGTTATAGTGATATGGAATATCAAAGCCATCGAATTTTGTTTGTTAGAGGAAGGTGGTTGGGGACCAACCAGAAACAATGATTCTTGATCTGGCTACTGTCTCTTTCCAAAAGGTGGGATTTGGGGTTTGGGGCAGGTCATCAGGAACCTTCTACAGTGCCAGGGTAAGGGATTTGGAAAAGGTTTTTTTTTTTTTTTTTTTTTAAATCTATGTTTGAATATTGTTACTAGTGAGATCAGAGTTTAACCCCAAAGGAAAATGGCCTTTTACTGGGACCTGGACTGAGGTTAGAGAACCAGTTAGATGAATTGGTGCAGCAGTTTTCATTGCTGTCCCATTTTAATTTGAAGTGTTTCAGGTTACATCTCTAGGATGTATTCCTGACAGTGGAAAAAGAATATTTTTAGACTTTTTAAACGTATTGCAGAATTACTTTCGGTAATGCTGTCTGACTTGTATTTCTTTCAGGAGTGTAGAGGGGACAGCTTTCACTGAAAGAATTGTCATAGAAATCTTTGTTAATTAGATACAGGGGGGATTTGTGTGTATTTTGTTGTTTTAATATGCTATTATTTGATTCCTTCTGAGGCTTCTGCTAAAAAATTTCATTTGACTTAGTTTAAAGATTAATTGACCTTTCTTAGTGATTTGTGAATAAGGCAGTATCCCTAAAAAATTTGAAAAGGTGCTCTGATGAGCTAAGTAGAAGAGGTTGTTGGCTTTGTAGGTAGAAAAGGGATGAAAAAACAAACGGAACAAAGAGCAGATCAGTCATTTCAAAGTTGCTTTTCTTATAGAGTTAGAAAGGAAGGGATTTGTCATTATGCTGGCACAGGTAAATTGGGTCCCTTCTGATTCGTTGCGTTGGATTTCCCAGTTTTGGAAAACTGGTTTGTTTCAAAGTTCAGTTTGATTGGTATCAACTAGGACTGGTGACTCTCTTCTCTTGGGCTTAGTTCAGGAGCTCATTCCAAAATAATGGCCTCCCTCAAATTTCATTTAAGAGGTTGTACTTTCTTAAACGTATGATACACTTATTAGACATCTGTATTTCATTGGCAGGTTTTCTGTGCATGTGTTTGTCAGCTTATCTTTTATAGTTTTAGTTTCTTAGCAATTTGTGTGAAGTCCTTAGTAATTCAGATTAGCAATTTTTGACTGTCATTTATAGAAAATATTTTACAGTTCATTGCTTACCTTCTATTTTAATGAGTATATTGAAGTATAGAGGTTTCACAGTTTACATTCAGGTCCAATGAATTTTTCCTTATAATTTCCCTTAGATTCCAGATTTAAAAAGTCAAAAGTGACCAGTTAAACCATAATTATAGTTACAGGGTGGAGCATGGACATTGTTTCTGGATCTACTGTGTCACTCTTCCCAACAATCTTTGGTGTAGTTGCTGCTAAGTAGCTTACTTTACAGATGAAGAAACTAAGGAATAGTTGCATAAGGAACCTGTGTGAGGTAACTCAGTAGGCAACAGCTAGCATTTGAACTGGTCATGTGATCCCTGATCCTGTGTTCTTCACTACTCTGTCATATTTCCTCATAGAATAGAACCAACAGGGTACTTTCAAAATGATGAAGGTGTTATTACTGGAAAGCATCATAGAAAGTACTTGAATTCAGTTAATATTTTATTTTTCTAGTCTCCAGTAAATGTGTTTTTCTTGTTGATGATCCAGAAGATCTTTTTATCAATTTCTTTCATTATTATAGCATTATCTCCACATTT